CCCCCATTCTCAGCGCCCCCTTCAGGCCCCTCCACTTCCCTCCCTTGCCCATCACCAACCCCAGGACTCTGTTTCCCCTTCAGGACCCCTCTACACCTTACCTACGTCTCTCCTTACTTTTCCTCTCTCCCATTTCCACTGTCCTACCCACACCCGTCTCTTCTCCCTCATCCCCCACACTTCTCTCCCAACCCCCACTCTCCCTCCTCCTCTTCCAGCCCCGCCCCATTTCTCCCCCTGCGCCTGCGCACTGTGCTCACCCTTGCGGTGGCGGCAGCGGCGGCTGCAGCACGAGGTGCAGAGGCGGAGCCCATGGTGTATGCGTGGGTGGGCACAAGGCCTTGCCTCCAGCGGTGAGGTTGCACCCGGGGGGTAGAGTGCCTCCCCCACCTGCTCTGCTGCCTTTTGTGCATAGGCGGACGGGGGAGCACAGCAACCCAGGGAGGGGAAGGCCGCAGCAAAGCACGCGCAGTGGGGGGGGGGGGACCCCTCAGCGGGGTCGCGTGTGAGTTGCTGCAGGCCACCAGGCCCAAAAGTACCAGGCCCAAAAGTGCCAGGCCTCACGGTGCTGGGCCTGCAATCGTGCACTATGGAAAGCCTCCCAGGGCACGGTATGCACCAGCCCAGAAAGTGCTCAGCCCTGACCCACTAGCATGCAGCGTGCATGGGCCACACCTGCACCTTCTAGAATCCTGGGCAGCGCCTGCAGCCTCAGTCCGCATAGCAGAGGCCTGGGGCAGTACAGGCAGCCCAGAGCTTTTCGAGGCCAGACCCTTGTCCCAGCATGGGCGGCCGTAAAAGCCCTGCAGCGCCCTGCAAGACTTTTTGCTTCTCTCTCCCTTAGGCCACATCACCATGGCAGCCCCCGAGTTCTCCTCAGCCCCCTCTAATGAGCAGTTCACAGGAATCAAAGAGCTAAAGGCAACACAAGAGAAAGGGCTGGAGGAGCCAGACAGGGTCCCGAAAGCGTTAGACCTGCACAGTGCTGCTCGTGAGCCCGAGGCCACCGGCAGCCAGGGGCCACTGCAGGCCCTGCTCCTGGAAGGGCAGCTGCAGCTGGAGCTGGTGGCGACCCCGGCCGAGGATGACAAGCACGCCCTGACCCTGCAGACTGTGCACTTGGCTTCGGGAGACCTGGGCCTGCTGAGTACGGGCTGGCTGGGCACAGAGCACCTGCAAGAGGTGCAGGTGGAGGTGCAGGAGGTTGGGGGTGTGCTGCCGGCGCTGCTGTGGCTGAGCGGGGAACCCCAGCAGAGCGAGCAGCAGTGTGTGGCCATCACTGTCCAGGAGGAGCTGTCCCCACAGCAGGAGCTGGAGGTGAATTTCCATCTGCTGGGGGAGAGCTTGGCGGTGGTCAAAGAAGACCCTAAGCCAGCGGTGAGCCTGTGGGAAAGCTCAGAGTTGACCAAGATACAGCTGGTTGGAATCAACAGCCCCTTACACACACACACACACACACACACACACACACACGCGCACACAGAGGAAATAAAAATTCTTTAAAACTCTTCCTTTGGAATGTAATATATGGATAACTCTATAATCACCAGCCTTACACACACACACACACACACACACACACACACACGCGCACACAGAGGAAATAAAAATTCTTTAAAACTCTTCCTTTGGAATGTAATATATGGATAACTCTTCCTTTGGAATGTAATATACTGTAAAAACAAAACTCCCCAGGAAAAACATAAGGGACCTTACATTTTTTTTGAGAGTTTTAAAAGCTATGTTAATTTGAATACTCTGAAGTGCATCGTATTTATTTTAATAGCTAGGTTTGCCACAAGAACCTTAAATAATTAAAACTCTTCCTTTGGAATGTAATATATGGATAACTCTTCCTTTGGAATGTAATATACTGTAAAAACAAAACTCCCCAGGAAAAACATAAGGGACCTTACATTTTTTTTGAGAGTTTTAAAAGCTATGTTAATTTGAATACTCTGAAGTGCATCGTATTTATTTTAATAGCTAGGTTTGCCACAAGAACCTTAAATAATTATGGTTTAAGCATTTTGATTGCAATGCATGGTCTTTAAATTTTGCTTTTATTTATGGCTCTGAGGTTCAAAGCAGAGCTTAATCACATTGAAATTAATACTCTTGCGTCTGCTTGAATGTTCATTCTGTTTTTCAGCTGGAGAAAGGTCAGGAGGGCCAGCTGGTGGCTGAAGGAGGAGGGGCTCAAACAGCAGAAGAGCAGCTCTTTCTGGTGGAAGCCAGGCCTGGAGATGAAGGAAGAGACGAAATTATTTTTACCGTTTCCACTTTAAACGTGGAAGAACAGAAAGAAAAGCCTGCACTGGGTCAAGCTAATATTGAAAAACCCAGCTCTACAAAAAGTCAGAGAAAAACAAATGGTAGGCCAGGCCATCTTGCCTAAGAAGCCCCATAGACGGGCTCTCATTCCTCTGTGGGAAAGTGGTGGAAATTGAAGTTTTATGTGGTTGACTTTTAGTTGCTTTCAAAACCTTAGGAAATGGGGAAAAATTTAAACTACTGTTCCAAGTTGTGAGTCAAGCCCAAAAGCGTTTTGTGTTCTGCACATAAAATGTTTTTAAAAACTCAGCGGAAGTGGAGGTGTACAGGAGGAGTGGTGCACACGCAGAGCAGGCCCAGTCTTGGGCTTCCCTGTCTGTCTCCCCAGGGGAGCGTTTGAAGGGTGTAAGTAATTTGAGGGTGGGAGATGAGCCCCACCCTCTAGAGGCACAAGCACAGGCTTCTGAGCCTGGACAAAGGATCCTTCTTGCAGGAGGGTTGGAGACCGGGAAGGAGGACTGAGGAGCCCTAAGAGTCTAGGCCATAGGTCCAGCAGCAGGAAATGATTGGTGCTGTGGTTTGGGGATCTGTGTGCCATGTGGGTCTGGACAGCTTTGCCATGGAAGAGGCCTGTGGGTGAGGGTGGGTGCTCAGAGGTGAATGGTCCTGCTTCGAGGGGAGGATTCTGAAGAGCTCGTAAAGCTGTATGAAAACCAGTTGCATTCCAGGAGCCCACAGGATACATTTGATCCCCAAAAATTATTTCTTTGGCTTGTTTAAAAAATTTCTCACTTCAGAAATCACATCCCCAATATCTCGGATTCAGGCTTGTTGTTTAAAAATCCTATTTGGCAACACTTGCATGATTCCCTTCCTCATAGCAAAGGGTGCCTGGGCTGGGAGGTGACACCATGGAGACAGGGAAGGTGCTGTCCCGCCCCATTTCTTTCATGTATGTCTGGAGTCATTCATTTAGGTTTCTTGGCTTGAAAAGGAGGCTGAGCTTATGGCCTCTTGGTTTATGGATCCTGCACACCATGGTGCCTATGTTGTCCTTTTTCCTCTTACTGTAAGAACATTGATTGTTGCCGGGATGGTGGTGCACACCTTTAATCCCAGCACTCAGGAGGCTGAGGCAGGAGGATCGCTGTGAGTTCAAGACCAGCCTGGACCCTGTCCCCCCCCAAAACAAAACAAAACAAAAAACAATAACAACAAAAAAATTTATTGTTTCAAATTATGATCCACTTTTTGTTTATTTTTTCTATTATCTCTATCCCAATCTTTATTATTTCTTTCTTTCTACTAGTTTTGGGTTTAGCTTTGTTTCCCTTTTCTAGGTCATCAAAGTGTAAAGTTAGGTTATTGACCTTGAATGCTATTTTTTAATGCTCATATTTCAGCTGAAAATGTCCCTGTGAGTACTGCTCTAGGCCACGGTATACCTTTTGATCATCCACGTTTTCATTTCCATTCATCTCTGATTATTTCAGTTTGCTTGTGATGTCTTCTTTGACCCCTTGGTCATTTGAGAGTACGTTATTTATTTATTTCCAAATTTCCTTTGGTGTTGATTTCTAATTTCATCTCATTACGGTCAGAGAAAATGTGATTTCTGTCATTTCAATGAGACTTGTTTTGTGGTTTGACCTGTGTTTTGTCCTCAAGAATCTTCCGTATGCACCTGTGAAGGATGTTCTGTTGTTGGGGTTGTGTGCTGTAGCTACCTGTTATGTCTCCTTGGCTTATGGTGGTGATGAAGTTTTCTATTTCCATTCTGGTCTTCTACATAGTTGTCTGAAATGTTTAAAGTGGAGTGTTGAAGTGTCCAACTACTACTGACTTATTTTTTTCCCTCTTGTGTCAGTTTTTGCTTTAGGTATTTTGGAGCTGTGTTATTAGGTGCATGCATGTTTATAATTGTTTCAGCTATGATAGATGGGCCTTTCATTATTATACTGTACCATTTTTGTCCCTTGTAACAGCTTTTGTCTTAAAGCCTGTGTTGTCTGGTATTAGTATAGTGTGCCTTAGTTCATGAACTTCATTCTTTTTTTTTTTTTTGAGACGGGGTCTCACTGTGTAGTTGAGACTGACCTGGAACTCATTATGTAGCCCAGGCTGAGTTCTTGAACTCACAGAGATCCTCCTGCCTCAGCCTCCCGAGTGCTGGGATTACAGGTGTGCATCACCACGCCCAGCTCATGAACTTCATTCTTTACATGATTCTGGTCCAAAACTGAATTAGACAAGAACTGGAGAAACTCAACTCAGTTCTCATCCAATTCGTTTTGCATCCAGAATTGTGGGAAGAATTAAGTTCATGAACCAAGGTACCACTATATAGACACTGCAGCCTTTCTTTCGTTACTCTTCCTGTGGAATTTATTTTACATCTACTTACTTTCTTCCCATTTGTGTCTGTGAATCTAAAATAGGTCTCATAGAAATCAGAGTGTTCTTCTCCTTCCATTTGGTTGTTGCTTGATTGGTAAATTTTCTGAAATATGTAAAGTCTGCGTTCTTTGCTTAGTGTGGTCACGGACATCCCTGCTAGTGACTGAACAAAAATATCTTTCAACACTTGAAACCAGAAAAGTCTCTTCAGCTCTAGCTGAGAAGCTCTTTGTCTTTGTTGGGCCTGGCCTTCCCAGGGGTCATCCAGGCAATTGACAGCTCTGCCTTAGCCTTCATTTCCTGCTTCCCGGGAGACTCAGAGGCAGCCAGAGGTGAGCACGTGACACCTTCTCCTGTGGTCCCTAAGCCCTGGGCGTGTCCGTAGCCTTCTGTATTCCCAGGAGTGCGCTGGAGCTCTTTGGAACATGCACACTGCTCCCCAGCTTTGCCTTCAAAGCTTTTCACTGTCTCTTTCCCTCGTTCGCCATTACTTATAAATGATTTACAAAACGGTCCCTTTCACCCCAGAAAGCCTCTTTTGCACTGAGTGCCAGGCTAAGCAAGACAGATGAAGGTGCAGCCTTTGAATTGGCCTTGCAGGGAGCCACCTCTCGGGTCACAAAACATAACTGTAATTTTTGTGAATGAGTTCCATTCCGCTCTCTCTGGTACTGGTGTTGTGCGTTTGAACTGTTATTTCAGAGGATACCACTGAGCTAGGGGATGGGGACCGGAGCCAGATATATTAAATCTCCACAGAGTTCTCTGTGTCCTGGGAGTCAGCCAGATTTTTTTAAGTATTCCTCTGGTTCCTGCAAGCTTTTGATTAGTTTCCGGTGTTCCCCCAAAATTGATTCTGACAGTTTTTGCCAGTTTTTTCATTGCTTTCCTGGAGGGATAACTTTTTGGAGTTCTTTACTAATTTTGATGGACAGCACAGCTATATTCTGCATTTAATAATTCTGGCATCTGAAGTTTGTGGTTCTGAGTCCTCTTTTTTTTTTTTCTTTTTTGCTGGCTTTTGCTTTAACATCTTGCTTATTCAGTCTGAGCTGGTTTTCTTCGAGGTGTCTGTGGAGATCCTTTGAAGCGTGGGGTGAAACAGTTCTCTGACAGATGGAGAATGTTAATTTCTGCCAATCAGGGATGGTCAAAAACCACCTTGACCAGGGCCCCTCTAGATTTGTTAGGAAACGTGGGTGGACCCCACATTCCTTCTTTGCAGCCATCGTTGTAAGGAAGATATTTTCAAACCCAAATTTAAGATAGTCACATACGGCTGTCAACTACTTTTTTCCTCCAGTGATGGAAATCAAACCGAGAGCTTTTTGTTTGCTAGGCAGTGGCCTGGCTCTGGGTTCAGATCGCACCATTCTGGATGGCGTTTGCCTCCCAGTCCCCGCAAGAAGAGCTGAGCACCTGCCCGGCCACACAGAAGTAGGCTTCTCAGGCACCTCTTCCCCCCAGCACCGTGTTCTGAATTGTGCGGTCTGCTGCTGAGAGGCAGCACTGTGCCCTGAGGGGAAGCCAGTTCCTCTACTGTGCTGAAACAGAGCTTGAACCGCACAAGGATGAGTTTTTGTTTTTGTTTTCTACCAAGATTTGAACTCAGGACCTTGCTCTTGCGAGGCAGGCGCGGTGCCCCTGAGCTAAATCCTGAGCCTGAAAGGATGATTTTTAGTCATAAAGATTCTCTCTCCTTCCTGTAGGAACAAAACAAATCTTCCAGTGCAACCTCTGCGTGTTCACGTCTTCTAGACTCTCGAGCTTTAATCGCCACATGAAGATTCACACCAGCGAGAAGCCCCACACGTGCCACCTTTGCCTGAAGACTTTCCGCACCGTCACACTCCTCCGGAACCACATCAACGCCCACACAGGTGAGGCGGCTGTGCAGCTCCCTGGGGAGTGGGGTGGGGCTGCGTGAGAAGGCAATTTGCCTTCTGTGGCTTCCATTACCTGTGGTCTGAACAGACCTCACGGGAAACTGCAGACATGAACAACTCTCCCTCTCTCTCTCTCTCTCTCTCTCTCTCTCTCTCTCGGTACCGGGGATCGAACTCTGGACCTTGCACTTATGAGGCAGTCAGCGGAACCACTGAGCTAAATCCCCGGCCCTGACAAATGAAAACTCTTAAAGTTTTAAATAATTCCTGTCACAGTACATTGTTAGAATTGTTCAGTTTTATTTCTAGCTGCTGTTCGTCTCTTAATTTTTGTCAGTCTCAACAATCATACTTGTCAGTTGTTGCTAGTCTCTAATTCATAAATTATTGATCACAGGTACATAGGTGTAGGGAAAAGCACAGTGCACACAGCTGCAATGGGCTCCGTGGGTTCCAGCATCCATAGAGCACCTTGGACGGATCCTGCAGTGGGAAGAGGCCTTGCTTGACTGGCATGGATTGTCTTATACTTTTAATTTTTCCTTTTTTCTGAAATTTCAACAAAAAGCATAGAATATTGCAGATATCCATCTCACATAAGTTCGCAGTACTTGAGGTTTACTGAGCTGCTTTATTTGAAAGCGTTTCGAGCCTGAAGTATAAATTATAAGTTATAAAATCCTTGGAAATGGTTAAGTCTTGTCTTAAAAGTACAAATCAGTCTGGGGATGCAGCTCAGTGGTAAAGAATGAATCTAGCACTACTGAGAACCCTTGGTTCTGTCTCCAGCACCACCACACAAAAAATCAAAATGTCTAAACTGTGTGACTTTACAGGAACCAGACCCTTCAAGTGTGGGGACTGTGACAGGGCGTTTGTCACCAGCGGAGAGCTTGTCCGGCACAGGCGCTACAAGCACACTCATGAGAAGCCTTTCAAATGCACCCTGTGCAAGTACGCGAGTGTGGAGGTAAGTCAGCGCATGGGACGCGCGGTCAGGGACCCCATTGTGAAAGAGTTTCTGCTTCTCACTTTCAAAAGAAAAGTATATTCCTTTTTGCCTTCCATTGCTAATTCGTGAAAATAATCTTTAAAGGTGCTCAAATTACAAATAAAATTCATTGTGCTCAGGAAGTTAATTCTAGGGGCAGGGATGTAGTCAGTGGCACCCGCCTGCCTTGCAAGCACAAGGTCCTGAGTTCGATTCCTGGTACAAAAAAAAGTAATTCTAGGATATGTCAAGAAGGTCTGTGTCTTAGTTACTTTTTCTCGTTACTGATACAAAATACCTGACACCCACAGTTAGGGGAGGAAAGGTTCATTTAGCTCACAGTTTGCAGAGGTTTCAGTCTATAACCAGCCAGCTCCAGGGCAGCGTGGCACTGCAGAGAAGAAACAGTTCATGGTGGGCAGAAAACAGCAAAAGCAAGCAAGGGCCAAGACGAGCCTCTTTCTGTCCCATTTTGTGTATCCAGGCTCCGGGGTTAGGTTGGTGCCAAACCAATCGGTGGACCCACTTAGTAATCACCACCCTTAATCCCAGCACTGCACCAGGAATCAGCCACAGGCTCCAGATCCAGGCACCTCTGAAAAAGCCCCACCTATGACCACCCGAGGCTTTAGGGGACACCTAGACACAGCCGTAACAGTCTGTCTCCTATTCTATGTCATACTCAGTGCCACAAAATTGAGGTGGATTTGCTGTAATGTAGGACACAGGAATTTCTGCCACAATTTTGAGACTTTCTCAGTAGCCCGTGGTCAGATACCAAGCATCCTGATGGCCATTTCTGGCCTTTTTCGTATTTTTCAGTGCTGGGGATTGAATGCAGGGACTTGGCAGTCACCCTGCCATCTAGAGAGAGAACTCTTTCTAAACTTCACTTACGTGCCTTGGTCATCTCTGCCTGGGTGTCCGCTTTGTGCCTTCTGACAGAATTAGCAGGGCACTAGACGAATCAGAGGTGGCATCTGACATTTACTTTCCAAAGCTGGCTCTGTTTGAGGGGTTCGGCTTGGTTTTAGGAAGAAAGGCCAGTCCTGGGTGTGAGCCCACTTGGGAAGAGAAAACCTCCAGCGGATCTAAGTTAAAGGGCACCAGGACTAAGTTTAAATGTAGTAGTGCCGCAACCCCATTTCATAAAATAGGGAATTTCACAGACAGGGTCACAATTGGAGTCCAAGGATTTTTAAAATTTTTCTGTGATTGTTGTTTTTAAACATCTTTCTCTCCTCTAAGTGAAAGGTTGTCTGGGTAGTACAAAAAGACGCAAAGCAGTGGCTTTAGAGAACAAAGGGGCCCCTGGATCCTCGGCTGGGAGCAGACCTCCGGTGATGGCAGGCGGTTCCAAGGATTTGCTTCCGGGTCAGAGCCTCTTGCGGCTCAGAGCTGGGCACAGCCCAGGTCAGACTGCTGGGCCCCAGCTCCCCCGCTGATGCCATCTTCCCCACTGGCCCAGCTTCCTAATCTTGCCTGCTGGTCTGTGCTAAGTCAGGGTGCACTGAGCGCCTTCTGTGTCATTTTACTTTCTAAAATATTCAAAGACTTTTTCTTAGACTTTAGAAGCTTTTCTTCTAAAAACCTGGCTCTTGCTTCCATTCTGAGGCCTCTGGTCTTGTTCTTCAGCTCGGCCCTGCTGGTGATCCCAGGGGGGCAGATGGGTCGCAGCCTTCCCTGGATCACAGCAGAACACCTGGGGCGTCCGGACCGCAGCTCCCACTGCGACCGCCCCGAGTTTCCTGCTAGAGGCAGATAAGGGCTGTCAGTGAGCAAGCAGGGTTGTGTGTCCAAGGCGTCCAAACCTGATGCTTTCTGCTGTTTGCTATCTAGTTGCTTGGGATATGTAATTGGCCAGATTAGAATGGTTTCTTCCACTTAAAACTTCTCCCTTCTGTGGAAACCCCCGACACCTGGTGTCCGCACTCACAGCAAGGGGTGCCTGTGCCACTCCGTGTCCTTGAGGACTGGGTCCTCAGGGCTCATGATGGTGCAGTGCATTTTCCCTGGTTCGAGATTTTTCACTTTATGGGAGAACAGTTCTGGCATTTGTGTTTCCACCTGCACTTGTGGCCTTGGACCATACGTATAAAACCTTGTGGCTTGGACAGCGAGGTTTCAGTCCTTGCTCCGTAGAGCGAAGTTGAATATCAGGGTCCCTTCTGACCGAAGTCTTCCTCTCAGAGGGTCTTGCGCTTATCCAGTGAAAAGCAGGTCGAGACCACAGAACACAGAAAGTAACGGCTCTTTAATCCAGTATTGGGAGTCTGGTTAACCTAAGTCTCTGCTGTAAAGCTGCCGCGAGTAACTCTCCCCCACCCGCGTCTATCCCAGGCCAGCAAGCTGAAGCGCCACATCCGCTCACACACAGGCGAGCGTCCCTTCCAGTGCCTGCTCTGCAGCTACGCCAGCCGGGACACCTACAAGCTCAAGCGCCACATGCGCATCCACTCAGGTGAGTGCCGTCCCTCCCCCACGGCCGGCGAGCCCGGGCTCATAAAGTCAGCCTGGGCAGCGGCAGAAGGAAAGCAGGGCCAGAGCTCACCCGGGCCTTTGGCTCTGCCCCTTAAGAGCCCTCACAAAGGCATAAATCGCGTGCTGTGCCCCAGTGACGCGCAGGCTGCCATGAAGCGCTGGCTTCTGCAGGGTTCTTGGTTGTTGGAAAGTCCACTTCTTAGCTTTAAAGCCAAGCACGCTACAAACTGCCGATTCCGTGACAGGTGTGCTGTAGTTGTGTCAGGAGCGTGTGTGTGTGTGTGTGTGCACTCGGCCCTCCAGAGCCCAAGGGTAGGAACCATGCGCTCCCGGAACCGAGGAACGCCGGGGTCAGGGAGGCCGCCCATGCAGATGGTGCGCGCCCAGCTGTGCGGGGCATCTGCTGCCTGGCCGGACTGGAGTGCCCTGGGGCCAGTCGGGGGCGCCAGCCTCCAAGAAGGAGGCGGCCTGGGATGAAGCTCCGAGGGGAGTCGTGCTCCAGAGGGTCATTTTGTCCTTGGTGCGCAGGTGAGAAGCCCTACGAGTGTCACGTCTGCCACGCCCGGTTCACCCAGAGCGGCACCATGAAGATACACGTCCTCCAGAAGCACGGCGAGAACGTGCCCAAGTACCAGTGTCCTCACTGTGCCGCCATCATTGCAAGGAAGAGCGACCTGCGTGAGTGGTTCGGCCTGCCCCCGTGCGGGCAGTCTTTGGGCACAGGGGCAAACTAGCAGAGCCAGCTGGCTGCTGCCAGGCCGGCCACGAGTGTCTTGCAGAGGTCCTGCGGCACCATCTGGCGGCCGTGCTGTAGAAGTGCATGCTCACTGCCGGCTCTGGGCTGGGCATGTCCCTGGGCATGTCCTTGTGGTTGAGATCCGAAGTGGCTGAGGGTCCCAATTGGAACCAGGACATGGTCCCCCTGAAGATAGGGTCCCGAGGTGGCCCCGTGACTCAGGGACTACACAGGACGGGGAGGATTCTCGTAAGGAGAGAATAAAGGAGCCTGGGAGCCTCACGGATTTGCTTCCGGATTCCCGGGTCTCCCTCGTGGGTGGTCTTTGTTCTTTCTGGAAATGTTAGCCCATCGTGATACGCACACCACACTAGCAGGAATGGAAATTCACTAGTCAGCCCTGAGACATTCCAGAGAGGAAACATCATTTCGAAATATTTCTGAAATAGCTACCAGAAGGGACTTTGGCAGGACACAAGGATGGCAAGCCAGTTGCTAGAGAGGTGGAGACTTCTGACACCACCACGGAGTGGTAGTTTATGCCTTGTGCGCCTCCGTGGCGGCTCTGTTAGGAAGCCTGGCCTTCTTCCTCTTGCTGGGCAAGACTGCGATCTGGGAGCGTCTGAGTGGGGACCACGAAGTGTCCCTCAGTCACGCAGCAGTCACCTGCTCCTACTCGGCTCTGCCACATGTTAGGATGTGAGCGGGAAGTGACCCAGATCCCAAACGAGCATCCGGGTATTTCCTGCCTCAAATGCAGTTTCTGCCTTGGTTCTGGGAGTCCCGTATCAGCCCAGACTCTGTTCGCCCCACGGTCAGCTTCTCAAAGTGCAGGGTTAAGTGTCTGGCCGGGGGTAGCCTCCACCCCGCACATACAGGATGTTAAACGAGGTTCCTGTGGGGGACCCTGGGTGGGTCTGGGGCTGCCACCCCAGCAGGGAGTGCCACTGGTGGCCCGTGGGTGGAGGCCAGGGATGCTGCTGAATGTCCTTCAGGGCTCGGGACTGCCCACCCACCCCACCAGGACACCCCATGGCTGAGAAGCCATGATTGAGGCCGGCCTGGCCGCCAGCTGGCCTCCTGCCCGTGACACCCCACTGCGTTTCAGGTGTGCACCTGCGGAACCTGCACACGTACCACGCCACGGAGATTCAGTGCCGCTATTGCCCGGCCACCTTCCACGAGCGCTACGCCCTCATGCAGCACCAGAAGACCCACAAGAACGAGAAGAGGTTCAAGTGTGAGCACTGCAGCTACGCCTGCAAGCAGGTGCGTGCCCTGGCCGCTTCTAGGGGTGGAGAAGAGGGACCCGGGAGGCGGGGAGGGCGGGAGAATCCCAGCAGGTCACGCTTTGCTGGAACAGTACGAGCGGAGCAGCCGGGAGCTGAGCGTTCTAGGCAGCGGCTGGTGGACTACGCTCGTACCCTTGAGGCCCTCGAGACGGTCTGGCTCCATACCAGCCAGACCACTGCCACCGTAACACCCACATGCTCTGCCCTTTTGGCTGTGTTGGCATTTGTACTTGGTGCCAGGCCACGGTGGTGCCCTGGCACAAACAGAAGCAGCGATGCCCACCCAGTGTGACTGGTGGCCAGGGTTGTCTACGCCTTCCTGCACTGGCCGCAAAGACAAGGCTGTTTCGTCTAAGAACGTTCTTGGAAAACTCTGAAACGTGTTGGCATTCTTAAATCTTGACCCTGAATACCTTGTTTTGAATACCTGTGTCTTAGTTACTCGCTGAGTTACTTGGTAGCGCCCCCAAGTGAGAGGGGGAAGGGTTTATTGAGCTCGCAGTGTGTAGAGGTTCCAAGGCAGGGGCATGGTAGAGGAGCAGCGCCCCGTGCAGGCCGGAAGCCAGGCTGAGCTCGGGGCCGGAGGGACCTGTACCCTTCCAGGCCTCGGCCCCAGGGACTCTCCCCACCCCACCAGGCTCCCCCGCTCCTCAGCATGGCATCCATCAGTGGACTCTGCCACTTTCGCACCGCCCTGACCCAGTCACCTCCCAAACACCCCCAGAGGCTCTGGGGGGCCTCTGGATCCGAAGCACGACATCCTGTGTGCCCCCGGGTGCCCTCCACAGCCCGTAGGCTTTCAGGAGGAAAAGTGACTTCCCCACCCTGCTGTCTCCACAGCGGAGAGCAGGGCACAGACCCGCACTGCCCACGCAGTTCTGGGGCATCTGGGAGGCGTTTTGATGACCATGAGGGACACAGCCCTGTCCCTCGAGGGAAACGTGCTACTGGTGATGGGCTGTCATTTCTCCAGAGACAGTCCGGCTCTGGGGAAATTGCTGTTCAGCCCTCTGAGCTCACAGCTTCCTGACCCTGGAGGACTTCTCTGGTGAGCTGCGGGGTTTAATCCACGTGATGAAGTATGTCGGTACTTCCACAAGTCCCACAGCCCAGTGCAGATATTTTCCCAACCATCTATCCATGTTACAGAATTGTGCCTGGGTGAAGTACGAGACAGGTAAATGGGTTTCCACAGAACAGAACAGAAAGTCGAGTGGCCTAGTTTCAGTTTCCACGAGGCAGCCAATTTTGAGTGTGTGTCAGGAATCGAACTCAGGACCTTGCACTTGCCAGGCAGGTGCAGTGCTGCTGAGCTACATCACTGGCAGTGCAACCATTTTTTTAAAAAGTTCCGCCTGTCGAGTTTTGGTGTACCATAAAGAACAACGACCATAATTATTTGGGGAAAAAAAACTATTAAAGGCTGCTTCCTTGTTGCATTGCACGTCCATGAGTCTAGATTTTCCTCCTATATTTCAGGGTCCCCCACCAGAGGGAGTAGAAGCAGAGATGGGGTTCCTTCTGGGTCCTTGTGATAGGGCTGTCAGATTTAGTAAATAAAACCCAGGACAGTTAAATGTGAGTTTCAGAGAAACAGGGAATGGTTTTGTACATCTCCAAGTCCTGCCTGTCCCTGCCTGCGTTTTAACTGGCAGCCTAACTGCCAAGAGGCACATTTGCTTTGTTGCCTGCACCTTTCAGAAACACGCTAACGTGTCGTCGGTTTATTTTTAAATGTATTGATACTTTTTTTTAACTTTAAAAATGATTTCCGGTTTCTCAGTCTGGATCCCTAACGCATTAAGTGCAAGTACCCGGTCGCCCACAAGATCAGACGCTCTCTGGGGCTGCCCTGCAGCGCTGGGTGCTCTCTGGCCCCTTCGTCCCTGACCCCACAGTGGGGACTGCAGGTAGCTAACGCTGTGACTACAGAGCGTCTGGGAGCGTCACAATGGGGTCCCGGGCCAGGACTCCGCTGAGGCCACTGGGTATCTGGGGGACAGAGAGCAGCCAGCATGTGATCCAGGTCGTGGTCCCAGCGGGGACTAGGGAGGGGACAGGGAGGCCACCGGAACATGTGTGAGAGGGGAGGAGCCTGCCCGGGAGCTGGAGGGGAGCGCTGGAGGGAGGGCTGTCAATGAAGCTGCTGACGGTGATGCGAAAGACCACGCATTTCATTAGCCCAGGCACAGCATTTCATTTCATTTTTGGTACCAGGGATCGAACTCTGGACCGTGTGCTTGCGAGGCAGGCGGGTGCCACTGAGCCACAACCCCCGCAGTCTCAGCATTTTAGATAAAACACCAGGCGTGAGCTCTGGGGTGACTTTGCCCTTACTATTGCCCGATTTCACAAGTTATTTAATCCTGCTTTTAAAAGCTTTGCTTGTTTCTTTGCTAAGAAAACTTATTTTCACCCTTATTTCACCAGCTCAATGGGAAGACCGCACATACTTTGTGAGAAAGTACAAGGGAAAATACTTGGATTCCTAACGTACCCATCCCCTGAATTTCAATTCTGAGCCTTAGATTTTGAAGTTGGCAGGTTCTGTCAGCCCTTAGCAAGCACGGGGGTTGCAGATGACTGTCTGGTAGATGTCAGGTACATCATCATGCCACCACCCCAGGTTGTCCCCCGGGAGGCGAGGGAGCCAGCCTCCAGTTAATTACAAGAGGGGGGCAGGTCTGTCCCCATGCATAGGAGAGATTTACGGTCCTTGGGGAGTGAGTTTGCAATAGTTTTGTTAGCCGCTTAGGAAAAGGCACTGTAGGGTAAATAATGTCTCCTGCTGAAAACCACCCCTAACCAGACCAGCCGTGCCCCCACCACAGGAGCGGCACCTGGCAGTCCACGTCCGCACCCACACCAGAGAGAAGCCCTTCACCTGCTCGGCCTGCCACAGACACTTCCAGCAGAAGTCGCTTCTGGACACACATTTCCAGAAACACCACGCTGTGGGTTTCCGCCCGACGGTCCACGAGTGCCCCAAGTGCGGCAGGGGCTTCTCCCGCTGGGTAAGGAGCTCACGCCCTCAGCAGGCGGCACACGGGGCCACACAGGAGAGTGGGATGAGAAAATCCCACCGGGACTGAAGGTGGCGTCTGTGGACCTTAAGGTCTTAGGGACACACCCGAGAGTTGGGGGCAGGTAGCAAATCCAGATACTCTTGGGGAAGTGCAGTCTGACACCCCGCGTGCCAAATCCTGCCCACAGCTTTGGGGAATCCACCTTGGCTCCTAAGGGTGTTATTTTCCACTTGTTCCTGTGAACTGGATTTGGGCTTCTTTACAGAGGGAATGTGATTTTCAGATATCTCTTAGATGTTCCGAGAATAGTGCTGTTGGGACCCTACCAGAAAATACGTTGCTTAGGTATATTTTGTCAGCACTGTGTTCACGCTCTGCGTCAGGCAGAGCCAGTTCCTCCCTGTTGCTGCGGCACCCACAGTTTAAAGGAGGTTTCTTTGCCTCACGCTTCTAGGAGTTTCAGTCCGGGATTGGCAGGCTCCCAGGGAGACCGGGCGCAGGAAGGGTCTGGGCGGAGAACAGCTGCTCTTCCTGTGGCATCCAGGAAGCAGAGGGGACGGGAAGCAGTGGGCGGGAGATGCCGCAACCCCAGGGGCCGCCTCTTCTGACCCGGCCCCACCTCATTCCACTGTGGGCTCCCCGTGGATTCGCCCACTCGTAGGTACAGCACCCCACGATCCCGTCACTTTGCGAAAGCTCAGCCTCAGGACATCTGAGCCTTTGGGAGGGGGCCATTCTGAATCTAAACTGTAAGGTAACAAATTATCTCAGAACTTAGCAGCTTAAAACCACAGGCATTTGGTTTCCAGACCCCTGTTTCCGTGGGTCCTCCTTACGTGGGTGTTTTGAGGCTGCAGGCTGGGCGCAGCTGCGGGTGTAAAGCCTCTGTCCCTGCCTCGGCCCTCTGCACAGGGCCCAATGTCCCCACAGCTCAGAGCAAGTGGCAGGACGAGGCCATGGCGCCCTCTGCCACCTGGTCCTGAAAGCGGTGCAGCGTTTGCCTCCACTGACTAGACAGGAATCCCACGGCCAGCACCTGCTCACGCAGGGAATGAAGTCCTTTTGAAAACAGGAGTGTCCAGGAGTTGGGGGCGTTGTAAAACCACGCAGATGCTGGATGCTCTCGCGTACTTTTATGAAGTTCTGAACTATCTCGAATCGACTTTTTGTGTGGGAAATCTTGTTTCTTTAAAGAAAACATTAGGGTAGCTGTGTTTGTCTGGATGGGGTACTGGGAGAGCCCTGGAATATTAACTCTCTTCACGAAATTTTCATATCCAAGCAGCAGTGGCACAGAGGCACCTCGACAAGCTGGTGTTGCCTAAGTGTAGAATTCTCAAGTACAAACTGCCCTTCCGAGTGAGCCTCAGGGAGAAGGCAGAGACTGAGTCCACTGCACTGTCGTTCAGCACGTGGTCTTGAAACTTTTTCTTCCATTCAAGAAAGCAAGATATAGGGGGAATGTAATTCCTAACCTACTAGGTGTCAGCTACACCGAGCTCATGTCCCCCAGAATGGTAGGATGAATTCTGAGGAACAGTGGAAGTTGAGTAGGAAAGATTTGTTGAGAGATAGCTCCCGTGAGACAGGAAGGGACCTTGAGCTGAGTTGCCACTGAGGTCCCTTCTCCAAGGTTGTTTCCTAGAGCAAAATCAGGAGGTGGGTACAAGGCGGGCGCAACTATATTCGACCAGTGAGGATAGCGGCTCAGCTAACAGCGATCGGAGAGCGGGGCAGGTTACACAGCCCGGCTGCGTGGAAGGGACAGAGGCATTTTGGGGAAGGGGTGTCCGATGCTCTGGCCGGTCACCTGGGTGACTGGTGTCCATCTGGATGAAGTGGACTGGGTGGAGCCGGTTCCAGTAGAGTCTCAGGTTTGCACTCTTCCCTCAGGGAAGCGTGACAGCCTGGCCATTGTGACTTTGGTCTCGAGGCCTGGCCTCCTTCAGAGGCGCCGCAGCCGCGGTTGCGATGGGTTCTCGTCCTCTACCGACTCCGTCCAGGGCCCAGCCCGTCTGCCTGCCTATTAATTTCCATCTAACTCAGCGCCTGTCATAAGCATATCTGCACTGTATCTAGAATGTTCAGAGAACTCTTACAGCTTGAGAATAAGACCACCACCCCAATTAAAAATGGGCAAAGCCCAGTGAAGAGCCTCTGTATAGACATTTCTTCTGAGGAGCCAGAGAACTCAGCAAGTACAGGAGAAGCTAACCGCATTCCGGGGTTGCTGGGGAGATAGATACATGTCTGGGCTGTGGAACAGGCAGCCGTGGGAAGTTGGGACGGGGAAGCGGGGGGCCTCGTGTGCTGCAGGTAGAATTAACATAGTGAAGCCGTCTTGGACAGTGGCGTCTTGACAAGATTTAACCTGGAGTCACCACAGGGCTCAGCAGTGCCGCGCCTAGATTTACGCCCCAATGACCTGAACACCTACACGCACAGGAAACAGCTACAGAACTGTTCATATCAGTATTAGTCCTGTGCACAGCTAGGTTGCAGCCTGTTCTTGCTTTGGAATATTACCCAGCCATGAAAAGGGCCACAGAAAGCCACACGTCATATGACCCACCTAGTGACACAGCCAGGACAGGCAAATTCATGGTGACAGAAAGTAGATTTGTGGCTGCCAGGATGAGGTATGGCTGCGAGTGGGTATGGAGTGCTCTGGGGGGAGGGAAATGTTCTAAAACCCATTGTGCCACTGCCTGCCCATTCTGGGAAATACTTAAAAGCCATACCTCTTAAGTGGATGACTTGCATAGTGAGTTACATGTCCACGGAGCTGTTTGGAGATGAAGGATGGCTACCCACTGGAATCCAACCTGATTCTTGAAAAGTACATTATTCAGGTTGCTGTCATTAACACGCAGGGCCCGTTTTTGCACCAGAGCCGCACAAAGCCAGACCCTGTCCTGCTCAGTGGGAACCCGGCCGGGGCTTGGGGTGGAGCCCGTCCTCTCTGGAATAGGGTTACGTTTGGCACAGGGACCTGTCACATCTGTGTGCCCCCGTGTGCTTCCCAGGAGGAGGAGGGACTGCTGCTTTCCTCCAAGGAGTCCCCCGCTCTCCGGAGCTGACACACAGCTGTCCTGGGGACCGGGCTCTGGCCGACCCTTCCCGTGAAGGGCCTGAGAGTCCGCGTTCCCAGCCCTGGCCACACAGCTCCTTCTGTGCAGCGCCCACCAGAGCCCCGAAGGCGGCCGGACGGCGTGGGTGCTCTGGCACTGTTTGCCAGCGCCGTAGCCCAGGTGGCGCTGTGGAGACCGGTGACCTCCTCCCACTCGTGTCCACCCGGCTCTGAGCCCATGAACCCAGACAGTCCTGGTCAGAGTGGTTGAGTGGGGTGCTGGGTGGGAGCAGCATATTGTGCACTGTACAGGTAGCAGCCATTTCCTAGCTGATCTTAAATTACCATAAGTGTTCAGAAATAAGATGTGAGGGGCCGGGGATTTAGCTCAGTGTGCCGCCTCCTGCCTTGCAAGTGCAAGGTCCCAGGGTCAATCCCCAGTACCAAAAAAACAAAAGCGGGCATCGCTGACAGGCGATTCTAATGTGATGCCCTAATCCTGAATGCTGTATACAGTTTTAAAAGCAGCCACCCGCGTCTTCGGAGGTCCGTGAGCTCTGGAGAGGGGGCTCGGTCTGAGCTACCCAGCACCTTGCAGCCGTGATAGCGACTCCGACACCAGGCTTCCGGTCCGACATCCGTTTTCACGTTACAGGGTACAGGAGCGCTCTAGAAAATGAATTTGGTATCCTCGTTGGTTTGTATTCCTCAGAACGGAGCACGCTTGCTTCTGGCTCACCCTAAACACGGTGGGAAGGGGCACGCTGGAAACAGGCGCTGTCGTACGAGATCCGTCCGGGTGTGGGGCCCACCGTGCTCCCCTGGCCCTAACCGTGTGTCCGGAAGCCGCCCGGAGCCGTCGCTCACCCTGTGTCCCGTGTCGTCCCCCACAGAGTAGCATGCACAGACACTCGGAGAAGTGCAGCGCGGCGCAGGGGACATCGGCCACCTCAGGGAGAGGAGGACGGGCGGAAAAGAGAAAGCAGGAAGCCCGCGGAGACGCAGGAGAGGACCACGGTACTGCATTTTAAACGCACTTCTTTGACAGGGATTTTCTAGTTGCAAATTTTCCTGGGCCCTGAGGTGGATTCGTGGGAGGGGACAGGAAGCCTGCGCGTCTCCCAGGCAGCGGGAGGCACCTGCGTGCCCCTCTGGGGAGGCTCGGGCGGGACAGCTCCTTGCTGCATCTGCCGGTTGGTTCTGGGGGACACACGGGACACAGAGGGGCCCTTAGCGCCTCTCAGGGTGTCTGTGGGGATGAAATGGGAGTCAGTGTGAATCCTGGGGTGCAGTCAGCCCTGCTTTCGTGGCGGGGGGACGGCGCCTGTGATGCTCCTCCGGGCGCTAGACGGTTGCCCGAGGCTACAACAGACAGGTGCCTGGCTGAGAACAGCAGCGCCTGAGCCCTGCCGTGCGCGTGGGCCACCGCCCCCAGGACTGCTGCTCCGCGTCCCTCCTGGCCCCTCAAGCTGCTGGCGGCTGCAGTGGCCTTGTCCCTCTGATCGCTGCCTCCTCCCATGGGGCCACTCCCTCTCGGTCTGCGTCTCCCCTTGGTGACACCAGTCTCGGGGTGGAGACTCGACCTGGGAAGTCCCCGGTGGTCCTACCCCAAAATCTGCCCCTCTCTGCAGATGGGTCGGGGTTGGCGGGCGGGAACTCTGAGTACCCGTGACTGGCTCTGCCCCGCCGCCGCCCGGACGTCTCACCCTGGCCAGTCTCCCCCTGGGGATGCTGGGAGCCAGACCAGCTCACCGCACACGCGGCTCCCCGCCCTCCGTCCCAGCCTCCACCCTTGACCCGCAGCTGTTCTCACTGTAACGCGGCCCTTCCTTCCCTCAGACTCCAGGCTTCTGTGGAGGGTGGGTGCTGCACGTTTGAGCCGCAGACCAACACGAATACCTGCCCGGCATCAGCAGGGCCCCTCACTGTTGGGGATACCCGGACAGTGCCCGTCGTCTCCCTGAGGCGGCCACGGCCAGCAGCTTCCTCCCTCCTGCTGCCAGCACGCAGGGCTCCCGCCCTTGCTGGGGTCTCGCCCACCCGGCAGGGGAGCTGGGGAGAGACCGAGGGGTCCCCAGGCCCGTCCCCCTCTTCTGCGGTCCTTAAGCACAGAGCTGAATGGCGGGACAAAGGTCCCCAGCACCCCATCCTGTAGGCTCTGTGTGGCCCCCGCCATGGGTCTCCAGCAAGCGTCCCTCCCCGACTTCCACTTCCTGCCTCTCCTTAGGACCTCTTCCCCAGCACGGGGGCCCTGGGTTTGCTGCTCTGAGGGATCCTTTGTGGGGTTCCCCCAGAGTCCTGCCATCCTCAGCCTGGTCCTGGGCTCCTCATCAGGGCTGCCTACTGTGGACCAAAGCAGACAAACCCGTGCCCAGCCTAGCTTGCACTTGCCCTTACAACCACAGGACCTTTGAATGTTCTCTCCTCCTCTCTCGTGCCCACTTGTCCCCTCCACCTGGGCTTTCCTGTCAGCCTTAAACAGAGTCTAAAGAAGAATGAACACTGTGCTTGCTGTCTGTTCCTCCTGGTTCTGGGGCTGGACTCACCTGACTTGTGCCTTCATCTCAGTCCCGCCTTCCTCTCCTGTCTGCCTCCTGTCCCTGCAGTCCCGAGGGCCCTGCCCTCCCCTTGGCCACAGCAGCTGCCCTTCCTCTCCCCACCTTCCGCCCACAGCTCCCTCCCCACCGTCTTCCGCAGTCAGCCGGTGTCCACGGCTGTACCCGCGCCGCTGGGCCTTCAGCCGTGCCCACACCCTCTCCGAGGCTTCAGCTATGTGCCAACCATGTGCCAGCGCTGTCTCAGCCCTGGCTCCTCCAAATACCACCGGCCTTTACCCAGCCCTGGCCACCCCTCCAGAGCCACGAAGGAACCTTCGGATGCCGCATCCGGCCCCTCCCACCTCACCACCACCCGCAGCCCCGTCCTCTGCCACCCTGTGCTCCACAGACCAGGACCAGAGAGGCCCACCCACCCCCACCGCTCCTCCCTGCCTGTCCTCGCCGTGCCAGGCCGTCCTGTCCTTCCCTGGGGTGCACGACGGCTGCACGGCTCGCCGCTCTCCACACTGAATGTGTTTCTGTAATTACCGAGTCACCCCTTCCACGTAGTCTTCCCTGGTAGGCTGGATGGTTTGGGACAACTTTTGAAAGCTGGTGACATTTTGACAGTGAGGAGCTGGGGACAGGAAAATACCCCACCTTACCCCAAAGTCCTGGGGCCGCTTCCTCGTCCTGAGTGGGGCTGAGCATCCAGCGCTCCCTGGACCCTGGGCTGAGGCTGGAGAACAGAGTTTTAAGGGGACCCCCAAGTTTCTCCTCCCCTTACCTGGCTCCTTGGCAACATGACTCGGGCCAGGATGTGCTGGGCGCCCAGGGCGCTGCTGGCTCGGAGCCGTCACCCTCCGGTGAGGGGAGGCGCCTGCCGTTCACGCGGCCCCCATCGTGTCCCCAGCATCGTGAGAGCCAGCGCCAGCAAAGCACACTGGGCTGCGCATCAGGATCCCGGTGACCTCAGGGACCCAGGACTTGGTCTCCTCTCCACTGGGCATCTCCGCCTCACTAGTCCTTAAACAGAGCTCTGCCAGCTACTGCCCTGCCGGCAGCCACCCTTCCGAATGGAAGTGTTGATGTTTGTTCGCAAGAGCTGTGTCTGCCCCTCCCGCGAGCTTAGAAAAGCAGGGGCAGAAATTCTTCCAGCCCGCTGAGCCCGCATGAGAGGCAGCAGCATTCTCGAGGGTGTGGTTCCACGCGTTCTCGGGAAGTAATGCAGGAAAACGGGTGCAGGGCGGACGCGTCTGCCTTTACACTCTTCCCTCTGTCCTGACTGCGTGGTGAGGAGGTGGCGGCCAGGCCAGTGCCTCGCGGGACGTGGGAGCCCGAGTGAGAGCTTGGTCTGTGCTGGTGGTGGAGGCACAGGTGTCGGGCGAGTGACCGCCGTTGTCATTTCAGCCCTGTGGCTAGTGACACGGGTGAGCAGCTCGGCCACCTCAAGCAGCGCCACACGCGGGTGGCCCTGTCTGGGCACAGACCGGGTTGTCACGATGGAAGAGGGGTGCCCTTGGCCCGCAGGGCCCGACGGACTCCCTGGCTCCAATTTCTTTTGCTTTCCTCTCTTCTAAATTTGCTCCTGTTGTGTCTTTTTCCCAAGAAGCCACCACGGAGGAGGGACAGCTCCAGGCCGAGGCCGCTCCCACTGACCACAGAGAGGCCACAGCCGAAAGTGGGGTCCCGGAAGGAAACTTGAGCTGCGAGGTGATCTTCGACATGATGGTTAAGTGACGGGGATTCCTTTCTGTAGCCTCTCACTCCCCAAACAAGTTAAAAATTGTACCGTCTTTGTAACAGGTGCTAGTTACGGCTTTTCCAGAGTTTGCAGCAGTGTTTAGGATTGTTTGCCCATTTGAGGATAAATAGTTCCAAAACGAGTGGCAGATGTTGTAGAAAAAACATAAACCTTTGAGAACACCCACACCTATGAATTCACTTAATTCTGACAAAGGTGGCCCCAGGAATGGTGATCATTTTGGAGAATAATTATCTCCACAGTAGATCAAACCGGCTGCGCTTCAGCAGACAGCCAGGGCTGGAAAACTTTTAATTTGAATTGTACGCACTTGCAACATTTCTAATATTATGGTTTTTATACATTAAAAGACTAATTTTTTATCCTTTTCCCACAAATGAATTTTCCATTAAATTTAAAGCTACCACAATGCTTTTAATTAGCTCTAAATTCAAATGATTTTAATGTTATTTTTAAAAGTGAGAAATTAGACTACGACAAAGTCATGAGTTACATGTTTTTACTGCAATGTAGGAGGGAGGCTCCACTCGGAAGTTTTATTCTCTCTTAATTGTATTTTTGGCAGTTAGGAAATTGCCCCTGGTTATATTCCATTATTTTTTATTACTACTTCAGTCTGTAACCCACTGCCTTTTGTGTGTGTGTGTGTGTATTTTTAAGACAATAGGCAGAGGGACAGAAACATAAAAAATCTGACACTAAAAGGCCATCCCTGGGAGGAGTCGGTACTAGGACCCTCAGTGATACAGGAATTGTTCAGTTTGATTCTCTGCCAGCAGGCAGTGGCCGAGATTAACCAGGACTGGTCTGCACAGAGCCAGGGTGCCCCTCTCTGTCCACAGCACTTTTGCTGTGAACCCTCTGACACCCCTGTATTTCAAGATTATCCTAAATTCAGATTTTTCACATGTTGGTCCCTCGTTAAAAATATCCCAAGTTCAGAAACCCTGTACAGAGTGACCATGTGGAAAAAATTTCCCAGCCAAAAGGGCATCGTGTATTCTCTCTGTGCCCCCAGATTAATTAACTTCATAGCACAAGACTTTATTTCTGCGGTCTGATGTATGATATATTGTTGTGACTGTCTGAATTTTCGTGATAGTTTCCTTTTTCTTTTTTACTGTTGTTTAAAGATGTTTTGCATAACTCAATAAAATGAAATGGCTTAAAATGGCTGCCTTTGTTCTGTGTGAATGATGGTCTTTAAAAATGTCTTCTTTCTCTAGAGGAGAAAGGGAACCTAGAACAGCTCCAGTACAACGCAATCCCATAGTTCTTTAGAAATGTAAAGTAGATTTCCCATGGGATCCAACATCTCTGGGCTTTGACCTCAAGAACGGAAATCACAGCTTCAAAAACAAATTTGGAAATCCCTGTTCTGACAGCATCATTCACAGCAGCCAAAAGGTAGAAGCAACCCAGATTCCATCTGTGGGTGAATAAACAACCTCACTGTGGTCTGCATGCACAGTGGAACATTATGCAGCCTTAAAGAGAGTGGAAATCGTGCTGCAGCATGAAGGAACTTGAGGACAGTTTCCTGAGCGAATTGAGCCAGTCCTGAAAGGACTAACACCATGCTGTTCCTCTCACTGTGAGGTTCTAGGGCCTGGGGAGGGGCCGTGCGGAGTTAGGGTTTAACGCAGAGTTTTCGTTTTGCAAGATTCAAAGTGCAGAGCCCACTTGCTGGTGGGAGAGGCGGTCACCGTGCACTGCCTGCCTCCCTGATCCCCCCAGTTGCACTGGCTCCTGCTCTCGCTGATGCCCGGAACAGCTCCCTCAGTGGTGCCCTCTGCCAAGCCCTGCGTGGCGCCAGCTGACAGCAGCCCAAAAGCTCTGCAGATTGAGCCAGGACAAACCTCTCCTCCTCCAAGGGGTGGGCGTCAGGTATGGAGCTTCAGCAAGGAGGAGGTGGGTAGGACACAGCTGCATGACAGTGATCCCGATGCCTGCTTAGAAATGGCTCAGATGCATTGGATGTTACACGTGGTTTACAGCAATTAAAATACATTTAAAAACTTCAGAACAGATACTATGAAAGACATGTTTTTAAAATATAAGCGTAGGGCCAGGGATTTAGCTCAGTGGTTCCACAGTCTGCCTTGCAAGCTCAAGGACCCAAGTTGGATCCCCGGTACCAAGAAAACAAAAAGCAAAAACCCAATAAAATATAAGCTTAGTCGATATCTAAACAATAAAAATTCCTTATAGAGTTGGGCACAGTGGAACATGCCTATAATTGCAGCACTCTGGGAGGCTGAGGCAGGAAGATCCCACGTTTGAATCAACCTGGGCAATTTAGTAAGTTAGACCTTGCCTCAAGAAATTAAAAGGACTGAGCAAGATATGGATCCAGCCGAGGCATCCATCATGGAGTGAATGGATGGCCGGGGATTTAGCTCAGTGGTGCTGCCACCTGCCTCGCAAGCACAAGGACCCAAGTTCAAGCCCCATTTCCAGAAAAAAAAATGGATAAAGAAAATAGGGCACATTTACACAGTGGAATAGTATGCAGCCATAAAAAGGACAGCATTTTTTTCATTTTCACAGAAAGTAGGATGGATCTGGAGAGCATGTTGAGCAAAATCAGCCAGAGTCGAGGACAGGTGTCACATGACTGTCCTTAACGTGCAGAATCTAAAAGGCTGACAGGAGTAGAAGGGAGACTGTTACTGGGCAGGAGGAAGAGGAACGGGAGGGGTGTGGGCGTCACCCAATGCAGCACGTACATTAAAACCCCAAAATCATGACGGGGGGGGGGGGGGGATGGAACAAATGAGCAATTCCAGCTATTCCAATCCTTCATCCTAATGCCGAAATACTTATTTTCCTCTCCTGGTGAACTTTTGGCAATTTTTCTGAACTTTTTGTGCCACTGCTTCCAAAATTGCTGAGGATTCAGAACCTTCCTCTTGGCCAATGAGTATCCAAACTCAACCACGAAAAGAGGGGGGGGGGGGGGGGGGGAGTGCAGCGTGGCTGGGAAAGGATTAAGGTACTTGCACGCTGACCAGCCATACATAAAACTAAATAAAAAATCTTTGAAAAGTGAAAAGATTTTTTTAGGGAGGGGCAAGGGACACAGCTCAGGGCAAAAAGCCTCTGGCTTCGAGCCTCAGCCCTGGAAAAAAAAAACTTTACAAACATTTATAGGAAATATTGTTTTTCATACGTAACAATGAGCGATTACATGGACCAAAACCTCGCTGGGACGTTGGCGTCTATGCTGCTCTGTGCTGAGTCCCCGCAAACGCCCGGGCAGGGGTGACCAGCTCCTGCCTAGCTGGGAGCTCAGCCCCGGGGGAAAATGGAAGCCGAGCCCGCAGTCCCCGCAGTGCCCACAAGGGGGCGGGTGTTTCTTAACCAGCACTGACAGGTTCTCTCCTCCAGACTGCAGTGAGGAAGCCCGACTGCAGCTAAAGGGAACTGAAACGGGTGGTCTCTAACCCTTGTGGGGATTTGCTAAGGGAGAGACTGGGGTCCTGACAAATCTGGAAATGGGGACGCTGGCCGGCTCCATGTCCTGGGATGCTCTGTGAGAGTCCCCTTCAGCACACCAGAGAGCTTCGCGATCCCGCAGGAGAGCGCTGTGGATATGCGCGCCTCCTTCCAATGGCTCTGTTTTGCGGACAGGGCTTAAATCACATCGCTCGACACCAGTTTTGCTGTATAAAGGGTGCTCTCAAAAAAGCCTGAGACCTGGCTGGTGCGTGGTGCGGCCTGGGTCCCTGAGCTCAGCCCTGGCAAGGCTGCAGGCTGAGGGCATCTCCCTGAACAGGAAGTGACTGTGTCCGGTTTGACAGCCTGGCTTTGGCACAGCAAGAAGCTCTCATTTCCCAGGTATCGGGTCCAGCACACATGTGCAGATCTCTTCTAAACAGCCCTTGTATCTACAGTGCAACCATCAGTTTATTTTATTTAATTTTGGGGGGGTTTTTGTCTTTTGAGACAGGGTCTCACTATGTAGTTCAGACTGACCTGTAACTCCCTGTGTAGCCCAGGCTGGTCTCGAGCTCACGGTGATCCTCCTGCCTCAGCCTCCCGAGTGCTGGGATTACAGACAGGTGTGCGCCACCTCACCCGGCCAACCATCAGTTATTAACGGGCATGGCGTGGGGGTGAGGACTGAGTGTCAGCTTGGACTTTGGCATCCACCCGGGGAACGGTGGAGCAGGTTCCTGGGTGTCTGGGTGGGGCACGGCCCACGCTCCACTTACCAGCCACCACGACTAAGCGGTTTTGCTTTGCCACTCCCACACGGTGCTCCTACCTTAGAGCGCACTGACCGTGGACTCGACCCCTGGAAACGGTGAGCCAAGTCGGACCTTTCCTCTTTTCTACTGTGGGTGTCAGATAGCGCGGGTGCCAGCAACAGGAAAGCTGACGGATCCAACGGGCCCTGTTCCTCCTACATAAGCACGTTCAGTTGAGCCCTGAGAACACGTGCCTTGGTGAGTAGGATATTTCTACACTTTCCCATCCTTCTATTGCAGTTTGTTTTCAACTGGGTGTAGCAGAGAGAAACTTGGACGGCTGTCACTTAGGGCTCCTTCCCAACGCGTGGCTATGATTATGAGCCCGGCTCCTACAAATCATTATCTTTTAAAGTAACACACGCTTTCTGGTTTCAAAAAAGTGTATAGGCCTACATTTCTATGCAGCGCAGATAGAGCACCGTTTAGGCAGCTCACAGTGCTTTTCCAGGCAAAGTGCGTCATGTGTAAGACCGTAACCGAGCCCCGGGGGCGGGCACGTCTCCACACAGGACGATGCGGACAAAAGAGCAGCAAGCAGCTCTCAGGGAACTGGTCCTCTGCGGGGCCACAGCGGAGCTGAAAGGGCCCACTGCTCCTGAAGTCATTTCCTGCTAATGGAGGGTGACAGTTTGTGCGTTGAGTCCAAAGCTCTCTGATTAAAAGGCTCATCCTGGCCATTCCTATAATTATACCCTAAGGCTTGAACTCTCAATGGCAGTAAAGTAGGGCTGCAACGTAGTTCAGTGGCAGAAGTGTGAGGCCCTGGGCTCAGCTGCCAGCCACCCCCACCCCCAAATAACAAGTAGTAAGTACCTTACTGGGTGACAAGTGAACAGGCAGAAACCAAGCCACGGCCGCCACTGTGCTCCACAGAGAAAGCTGTGTGGTTTTCTCTGCATTTCCCAGGCGCCCCTTCGCTTCGCCGCTATTTGAAACCTGGCCCAAGATTAGCAGAAGGCGACCCTGGGTCACACAGCCTGCGAACCGCTTTCCCCCCAGAGGAGCAGGGGAGGATGAGCTGTGAACCCTGCAGGGCTCCTCCACCGAGCCATCCAAGCACTTTTCTACTAGACAGAAACAGCCATTTTGTTAGTTAAGTCATTTGTCGTAAGCAGAAAAACAAAAACGGGGATCTTGTCACCAGCGCGCACAGACTCGCTCTGGGCATAGAAGGATTTTAATACAGCTGCTCCGGGATGCAAAACCAAGGCAGAGCCCCAGGTAGAGCAAGCACATCGCCGGCCCAGGCCGGAGCATCACTGGTGTGCAGCTCCCGGGCCAACCGGCTACTCAGAAGCTGGTGCCTCAGAGCTGGAGATGGGCGCGCGGAGAAAGGGGTGTGCTGTGGGCGTCACCGGGTG